CTCCCCCTCTCCTCCCTGCCTCTGTCCCTCTCCTCCTGCCTCTGTCCCTCTCCTCCTGCCTCTGCCCCTCTCCTCCCTGCCTCTCCCCCTCTCCTCTGCTGTAGCACTTACACTCTGGATTGAAACTTGTGATGTGTCTCCCTTTGGGTTATAAGCCCCTTGGGCACAGGGACCCTGCGAACATAGTTAGATGTTATTTTCCCTGTCTTACCAAGACCTCTCGGGTCCCAGTTCAGAATAAATAAAAGTGAGCTTAGTAAGCAAAAATCTGGAATCAATGAATTGACCTAACCTTTCTTGAGAGCACTGTAGGGAACATTGTCTTGAAGGCGGAGGATGAATAAGGCTCAGCCCTAGCTCCCAAGGAGATCTCATTCCCGCTGTTTGCACAGTGGCCAAGCACGGGATTAACACTACCATGGGGGACTGTAATAGAGACGTCCTGTCTGGGGAGCTTCAGCTGGTGGGCGCAGTGGTCAAGAGGAGGGAGATGGAGCTGCAGAGATGAGAGTGGGCACCATGAGGAACGCAGCATCTGAACTGCTTGCCAGCCGGCCACACAAAGATCCTAGGCTGTGGGACTAGCTAGCTGTTTGGATGGCTTTCATTGCCCTCTTTTTCTTTCCTTTTTTCTTTTTTTAAGTAACGGCCAGAAAGGAGAGAAATTGAGAGTAGCCACCCCTTAGTGGAACCGCTGCCACTGGCCAGCTTGCTCTCTGGTGCCTGGCCCTTTAATGTGAAGTGACAGTGGGGGATGGGTGTTTGCCCTGAAGAGTAACCCTTTGCTAACTGAGCCCTTCTGAGCTTTGCTCTCAGCAGGAGGGCAACCTACAGGGACCTGCTGTTGTGTTTCTTTCTTGGCGCCACTGCCCTAATTGGAGTCTCCTGCACCCCCAATTAAAAATATTATAAGGTGGGGGATCCTTCCTAGTCCTCTCCTCTCTTTTGCGTAGCAGAGCACTGGCCGGGAGCAGTTAGAGTGTTCCCGAGGACCAAGGTTTATTTTCAACAAGTGACTGAGGGCTCTAACTTTGAGCTTGTCTGGCTGTCGGGAATTTGGTCCTCACCCCAAATGCTTTCCCCAGGGTCTCCGGTTAGCCACTTCAGGCCATTTCACTCTAGCCATTTTATAGGGGGAGTAACTCAGGGTTGCAGAGACATGACTTAAGTCACCCAAGGTCAAAGCGTAGACAGCTGCCCCAGGATTCTAAGTGACTTAAAGCTCTGGCCTCTGCACTGGGCAGGGACAGGAGGGCCTTGAAGTGCAAGGCTGGCTGGAGGGGACCGAGCCAGAAGCTACTTAAAGAGTATCATGTAAATGTGTCACAGTGTCCTTCCCAACCCTTTGGGCTGGTCCAGTGACGGGCTTTGATTTTGAAAGCCTGTTTTGCAATTAAAGATGGTTTGGAAAGCAGTGATAGGTATCTGTCTTTTGCCCACTCAGCTGTGAACGTGTCAGGGCAGGGACACGATCTTATCATTTTTCTCCAAATACCTAACACTTAGCCTGGTGCTGAGGAGGACCCCGTGGTCCTCTCTGGCTTGGAATCACAGCACGGGGAGATTTATTCCATTGAAGCCATCAGAGCAGCCAGGGCAAGGAAGGGCCCAGTGGCCATCTGAAGAGGACACTGGGTGCCTGGGAGAGGGAACTGTGAAAAAGAGGGTGTCTGCCTCATGGGTTTTCCCCGAGTTGCACACATAACTCGTATTCCAGGCAGGAGTCCACGGCCTCTGCTCTGCCTGTGCTGTGTGGCAGAATGGCCCCCAGGAATCAGGGCTGGCGTCCCAATGAATCCTGGCAAAAGCCAGGTCCTCCCCTTGTTCATGAATGTACAGCATTGGAGCCACAAGAAAGCGGTGGCTCAGCGTGGTATAAAAGCCACCACATGGGTGGCCAGGACACTCGGAATCCATTTCCCTCTCTGGCAGATAACCTTTGAGCCAAGCCTCTGTGGACGCCCTGTTAACAGAGGTGTATATTTCCTGGCATTTATGAAAAGCTCCATCACTCGGGGAGAAGGTAGAGAGGCCGGAGTTGAGCCCAGCAGGCTGACACCCAGCAGAGCCACCTCCCAGACCCTGCTTCTCAGGGCCTCACTCTGGACTGCTCTCCAGCGGCCACCTGGTGCGCCAGACCTCTTCATGTTTCCCAGCACCCGGAGTCCTTGTCTTAGATACCTGTCCCCCTGGACAGAGTGCAGTCCCACTCCTCTCTGATGAAACCTATGCCAGTTGCCTCTGACTGTTGTCATAAATTATCCCAAACTTAGTGGCTTAAAACAACACAAATGTTTCTTGCAATTGTTGAAATTAGAAGTTGAAAATGGATCTTGCTGGGCTGAAATCAAGGTGCTGGCAGGGCTGTGCTCCATCTAGAAGCTCTCAGGAAATCTGCTGCCCGGTTCCTTCTCATTTTCTGGCTGCCTGCATTGCGGGGCCTGTGGCCTTCCACCTTCAAAGCCAGCAGCATCGGGCAGGGCCTGTAGCTCAGTGGGTAGGGTGCCGGCCACACACGCCAAGGCTGGTGGGTTCAAACCCGTCCTGGGCCAGCTGAACAACAATGACAACTGCAACAACAAGAAAAAAAAATAGCCAGGCATTGTGGCGGGCACCTGTCCTCCCAGCTACTTGCCTGAGGCTGAGGCAAGAGAATCCCTTAAGCCCAAGAGTCTGAGGTTGCTGTGAGCTGTGGTGCCGCGGCACTCTACCCAGGATGACAGCTTGAGAGTTTGTCTCAAGAAAAAAAAA